CATCCGCCATGGCGGGGGGGTGAAAGACCCGAGCTAACATGGGGGTTAGCTCGTTAAATTACAATAAAGCCTCGTGCAGTTTGCAGCAAGCTCTCGAATACGCCTGGTGATTGGGGTGACCACGAACGTGGCCTGGGACCCCGAATACTTGAGTTTTCGGGGGTCTAACAATGGGACATTAATTCACTGATGTCAATGAGAAGATTGTAGAAGATGAGGAGGCTAGCATGTGGCTGTACACCAAAGGCTGAGGCCACAGCTAGCCCCAGTCAAACAGTGTGGGACACTAAGAAAAACAAAAGCTAGTAAATATTGGAAACAGATCTGTAAGGAAGAAGGAAGTCTGTCAAAGATGGGAGGGAAATAAGTGCATGCGTGTGCTCATGCTCGGGCATGTACATAGCCAGAAAGCATTATATACATGGATGAGATTGACAAGGGACAAATTTATTAGTAAAAATTTAGAAAAAGTGTGACAGAATAGTAGAATATTCTCAAAAAAAGTAGAATGAATAAAATTACAACTCACTTTAAGAAACAGATGTTTTAAGATGGGTATGGTGAAGCAAGCCTTTAATCCCACCTGGCAGGTGGATCTGTGAATTTGAGGCCAGCCTGGTCTACAGAGTGAGTTCCAGGACAGTCAGGGCTACACAGAGAGACACAAACAGACAGACAGACAAACCAAAACAGGAAGTAGACCATTAAAATTTAGAAATCCACACACACACTTGTAGGAAGGTAGACAGAGATCTCATGTGATCTTTATAACATTTCTCAACATGCCATGACTATGACATTGACATTGACACAGTCACAACACAGAACATGTGTGTTGGCACCAGGGTCCTTCCTGCTGGCTTTTCATCTCACACCTGCATCTTCCCTGACTCCACATCCCCACCTTGTTCCTAGCCTCTGATGATGGTTACAACTCTGTTAATTTCGCAACTTCCAGCAGGCTACATATTATATGAGATTCTATAGAAACCCTTAGGTCTGACTTAGTTTGCCTCCACATAATTCCTTGATCTGTCTAAATTATTGAACAAATCACTAGTCATTTTTATTGCTGAATAGCATTCATTATACAAGCGTATTTAACCATTCTCTCATTGAAGGACACTGAGTTGGCTTTTTTTTTTTTTTTTTCCATTTTGGCTACTGCAAATAAATCTGTTATGAGTGTTTTTTTGTTTTTTTTTTTTTTTTAATTTTGGAGCTGGAGTGATGGCTGAGTGGTTAAGAGTACTGGCTGTTCTCACAGAGGACCTGGATTTGATTCCCAGCACCCACATCCTCACAACCCTCTGTACCTCCAGTTCTGGAGGATCTGACGCCCTCACCTGGCCTCCATAGGCACCGCATGCCCTCTGCGCACAGACACACACAGGCAGAGCACTCGAACACATAGAAACAATGTTTTAAGAGTTTACAAAGTTACATTTACTTGGTGTGTGCACCCCTGGGCACCTGAGTGCCATGGTACATGTGTGGAGGTCAGACGGAAACTTGCTGCAGTCGCCTCTCTCTTTCCACCATGTGGGCTCTGGGGACTGAACCCAAGCCATCAGGCTTGGCGGCAAGTGCCTTTTCCTGCTGGATTGTCTCATTGGCTCTGTCATGAATATTCTTGTACAAGGGTCTGTGCGAACATAAATTTTCATTTCTTTGTGATGAATACCCCACTATTGTGGGGAGCAGATGAGGCCTTGAGTAAATGTGTATTGTTGTCATAAGTCTGGCCTTGCTAAGGATCCCCAATGCTTCAGACCCACAGGAGTGGCAAAGCCTTGCATTGGTCCGTGTGGGTGGTTGACAGTGTGTGCAGAAAGTATGGACTCCATCTTCCTTCTCCTGTATGTTTACAGCCTGAGATTACTCCCTGCAGACAACACCTACTGAGAAGAGCTAAACCTGCTTGCTGCCTTGTTCAGCTGTATACAATAGACCCTGTCTCGAAAAACAAAAAACAAAAACAAAACAAAAACAAAAAAACTAAACAATAGACCTGCTGCCTCGACTCAGATGTATAAAGTAAACGCTGGCTTTCCAGGTTGCTGATGTGTCTCCATCAGCACACACAGCCCACCCAATCCCAGCTTTTCTGTGTGTGGGTCTGTGTGTTTATCCTTTCTTCAAGCCCTGATCGCCCAGGTCAGGTCAAGTACAAAGCCATGCATGCCGTCACAAGCTATGATGCAGTTGCTCGGTCACATAGTTATAACACGTATATGTACAGGGAAACTGCCAGGCTGTTTTTCAGAGTTAGCAAACCCTTTATAGTCTCTCCAGCCAGACATACGCTATCCAGTGTGCGTCTGCCTCTCAGCTGCATTTGGTTTGTTATATTATTTATTTATTTTTGTGATTTTAACTGTTCTGATCCCCAGATTCTGGAGGTGGCAGGCACATAGCCATGCCTGTAACATAGGGGCTGGGGATTCGAACTTAGTTTCTTGAGCTCTCATAGAAAGTACTCTTAACCACCGAGCCATTTCCAGCCCCAGGATTCCCATCTATTCTAAACACTAATCCCTTGTTAGGTTTGTAGCCTGCAAATATTTTCTTCAATTTCATGACTTGTCATTCTTGTAACAGAACCCATTTCCCTAAAAGAATTCAGCACAATTAGTAAAATCTCGACAAGCCTATTTAAGGAACTGAGAAAAGTGACATCATCACACAAAAGAGGAGGCTAAACGTTTTTTCCTGTTTTCATAGACATTTGGCTAGCTCTCCTCAGCCAAGTGCCAGGTGTTCCAAAGCCAGGGAAGCCGGAAGCATGGGGATCCTAGGAAGAAGCAAAAACAAGCACCTACCAATGGAGATGATTTCTAGAGAATTCTTACACGTAGTGGGAGAGTCACCCTTCTTACTGCTTGTGGGAAAGGGGAATGCCTCTTCATACCTTCCCTAGCTAGATGGGGGAGTCCTGAGACATATGTGCAGAGAAGGCTGTATTCACTGATTAAGAAAAGCCTCTCCCCAGAAGGCTTCATGGGAGCTAAGTTGCAGAAATTAAGACACCCAGACATTTTTTTTGTTTGTTTGTTTTGATTTGAGGCAGAGCCTCACTGTGTAGCCCAGGATGGCTTTGAACTTGCAATATTCATGTCTCAGCCTCTCCTGTGCTGAGGTTATAGCCCTGTCCTTTTTTTTTTTTTTTTTTTTTTTTTGGTTTTTCGAGACAGGGTTTCTCTGTGGCTTTGGAGG